ACAGTTCGGGCTTTCCTGGCTTGCCTCAGGACTCTTTGGTAGCTTGTGTTTTTTTATTGATCCTATAGTCCTAATGATTGCCACTATAAATGTCACCCCAGATGGGACTCGAACCCACAATCCCTGGCTTAGGAGGCCAGTGCCTTATCCATTAGGCCACTGGGGCTATAAAAGCATCAATGCATGACCATGTCACGTAGTTGGTCTCCGATCAACTATGTTCTTTTTTAAAACCAACAAGCTGCTCAAGTAAAGATTTAGTAGTATCCTGTTAAAGGAGGCAAATACCAAAAAACAACAACACAACTGAGTTTTTGAATTTACATGTTGCACTCCTTATGAGGCCTGCACAGGTCCTCACAAGACCTGCCTTGCCTCAAGACTCGTTGGTAGCTTGTGTTTTTGTATTGTTCCTAGTCCTATTGATTGCCACTATAATGGCGCAGTTCCACTGCAGCGCGGAGCTCGCTTTAAGCCTGCCGTGTCGTGCCGTCCCCTTTTTTGGTTGTGCTTCCACTAGGCCTAGTTCCGGCGCGGCACGGTGCGGGGCCACTTTTTCACCTCTTTTCTGGCCCTAGAAAATTGTGGTTCTATCGGGGCCAACAAACAGGGCTGAGTCGGGCTGAGTATGCTAAACTAGAGAGAGGAGCGCTGGCAAGAGGGCTAGAACTACAACAAGATGGACATATTTGACCGTGATTTAATTGTAATACACGTTTCAAAATGATGCCGAAGTAACAACATACTGATACCGGTTAGTAAAAACCATTAATTAATGCTTTGTCAAGTCTGCAGACAGACGGCAGGCGAAAAACCTTTTAAAATGCGTGTTTTTCTAGATGGAGATTGGCTAAGCTAACGCAGTATATGCTCTGACCGTCCACACTCACAACAACGGCCTATACAGACATAAATAAAGCAGCAACTGTATTCACCATGACACAGGCAGTCTGTGGTGTGTACTTGTTTAACTTTTGTCGAGTTTCTGAACATATATAAGGAGCTGTGAGCTTGAGTGCTAACAGCTAACGGCTGTGTTGTGTTTCTGGAGTTCTCATTGAAGATGACGTCACGGCTCCGCCTACACTGCGTTACTATAGTAACTACCCCAGTTCCTAAACTGTAATGGAAGCGCAGCATGAAGTGAGTCGGCCCTGTTAAGGCCCAACGCGGCCAAGCCGTACCGAGCCGTACCGAGTGTGGCCGAGGCCGACCGTGTAGTGGAAATGCGCCATAAGTGTCACCCCAGATGGGACTCGAACCCACAATCCCTGGCTTAGGAGGCCAGTGCCTTATCCATTAGGCCACTGGGGCTGTGCCTCATGGTTTTAAACATTAATTAAAAACCATGTGACATAGGTGGTCTTTGTTTAACTGATTCTGCACGTTCTAAAACCGACAAGCTGCTCGAGCAATGGTTTAGGTGTATCCTGTTAAAGGAGGCACATACTTTGAGTCCTTTTTCAATATTTTTCCGTATTTATTTATCAGTTTATTGGGATTAATTTTCATTTTGATAATACATTTACTTAGTTATACAATTAACAGTAGCCATTTGGGTCTGTCTAATGATAAAGGAACATATATCTGACAGGTGTAATAGTTTTACGATGGTCAGACCTTTTGGAATTATAAAATATATGTTTATGTTGTTTTATGTATCTTTCCCTTCAACAATCGATTAATTAATTTGTCAGAATAATAATTGGACACTATTTGATCATTGGTTAATTACTTAGTACATCGTATTTTTGTAGTTATGGCATGTCATATACCCTAAAGTCCAATGAAAATAAATTAAAAAAAAAGGTATTAGTGCGGGAGTTAAAGCTCTCTAAAGGTATGATGTGGACTAAAGAGCACTGAGGGGTCGACAGCAGAGGACATCCTGTTTTAGGACTTCTGTGTCCTCTCTCTTGTCTCATGATATCCCAGGACTTAAATATCCTTAAGTCAACAATCACAACAGGAAACATGACAACATGTCAACCTACTGTGAGCGATGGCACATTTTAAATATCAGATTACAGGTAGACATAGCCAAGCAAAGCTAATACTTTAATGGAGGAAGGATAACGACAGAATTAAAATTATTTCTATTTATGTCTTTGTATCCCCTATTAAAATCTCATCACACACAGCTCAGATGACTTAATGTACATGATACATACATAATAATCCTTCCAAGTAATGATCCCAAACTACAGTTACATGAATCGCTTTATCAACGTGTAGCTACACCTGTGTGTGCATGTGCAACATTATTGCCGCTGTGTTTTATCAGCATTAAAGCACAGTGCTTAGTGTGAGCCGCAGTAACCTGATGCCAAAGGGAGATTGAGCTAAATGTCAGTGAGCCACCTTGAGCTACAGCCGTCCGACAACAGCATCGCAGTTTCAGAGCGGGAAAGTGAGAAGAGACAATATATAGTCTTAAAATTCTTAAAGTCTTTAAAGTTCACATTCAGTATTATACCATACCAGGGCTGGTAATATAATGATAATATATCGATGTCAGGACATGAGACTACCTGTTGTCTTAGATTTTGGATATCGTGCTATTGCATTGTAAGTGCATTTCAGGGAAGTGATGTAATTGAATGACTTGCGCTGTTTTAATATCTGCCTTTACCCACTTAGTCAATATATCCACATTACTGATGATTATTAATTGGTCATTGTGTCATTATTTTTTCAAAGTACCATAGTCAACCCAACAGTATTGAAGGTCTTGGTAAAAAAAATTGTGATTTTTTTCCCCCCCCCTCATATCGCCCAGTGACTAGAAAATGGACTGCATTTATATAGCTCTTTATCCAGTCTTTACGACTCCTCATCATTCACCAATTCACACCCCAGTCATACAAAGCAATTTGCTCAATGAAGCTAACAATCCAACCCAGTCTCACGGCATTTCGTGTTATTAGTCACGAAATTAATTTAATCTATTGATTCGTGTCACACAGAACGATTTTAAATGCAATGTATTTCTATTGGTAGTATGTGTCGTGCCTGCAACACGTCTTTTTGTCCGGTCGGGTCTTGGAAGACCAGAAGCTGTGTGGTTCATAAAAACATGTTCTTACTCAATATCTTACACTAAGCCTAACCCTATCCCTTTTATTTGAAATTGTATAATGTCTGAGTTTTTTTGCCGTCAGTGAGGAAAAGAAATGGGGCTCAGAGCCTCAGAATACTGAAATCTGTATTTTATGTCATCTTTTTTTTCCTTCTAATTTGTTATTATTTGGTGCAGGCACGAAACATACTACCAATATAAATACATTGCTTCTAAAATCGTTCTGTGTCAGAATACTTAAATCTGTATTTTTTTTTAATGTCTTTTTCCTTCTAATTTGTTATTATTTACATTGCTTTTAAAATCGTTCTATGTGACACGAAAAAAATGGCGAAATCGTGTTGGTGAACACGAATCAATAGATTAATTTCGTGACTATAACACGAAATGCCGTGAGACTGTGTTGAACAATCACACACATTCACACAAATCATAGCTTGTTAACAACCACACGAGCAGCTGTTTGAGTAAAAAAGCACTAACAATCCACTGTTCACTATACCTGTTCAGCACTTAGCAGCAGACAGGCACAGTTAGCTGCTCGCACAGTGTAGCATTTAGCAGCTAAAGAGCTAGATATTTCCCTCACTAGTTGATGCAGGTCAGAGCTTAAAGAGACTGAATGTTGGACTTTCTCTGTAACAATACTTCTCCAAACAAATGATAATGTTGCTATGTAGCTGCTTAAGGTGTAAGTTTGCCATATTGATTAAAAACTTGATGGTATAATTCAAAACAAAGCCAAGTTTGGTCATAAAATATACCTTCAGTATGCACACACACAAGCATTTCAGATGTTCTGACACCTGACGTGCCATGACAGATAGTAAAAGTTGTTATTTTTTACTACATCATCAACTACTTGTCTCTCCCAAACTGCAGAGTTCACATACTTTCCACAGCAATAAATGGGGCTTAAGTGAGCTGAACTCGCATGCTGTTCATAGATCCTACAACAACACTGCGTTCCTCTTTCCTTCTTCTCTCTCTACCCTGATTTTCTTTTCATCTCTATGTGCGGTTGTGTAATTCTGAGGGCATTAGGGCATCTTTATTAGCACTGCTATATTCTAATGTCATTATAATGGCTCTCCCACTGGCATATGTAAAGGCATGATATAAATAGTTTGGAAGAAGAATGCAGACCCTTTACATACCCGAAAGCAGCTCGGCAATGTAAAAGAAACTTCCATTACAAGCGCTGCATTCAAGATAAGTGAAAGTACATCATTATTATCATAAATATGTACTTTTCAAATAATTCTTTATATTATTAGCACGTAAGTAGTATTTTACTATGAAGTGGTTTCTAATCTCGGGGCCTCCAAATGGCTTAAATCTGAGGGATTGTGAGATGATTAACAGGAAATAGGAAAATCATAATGCATTGTGTCGTTAAAGCTTATATCACATGTTGTTTTGTTAATACATTTTAAATGTGTAAAGCACGTAGCAGCCTAAAAAAGTACTTTCTACAAACGGAAAAGTCGGAAAAAGCAGAATTAAGGTGTCAAAACCTTTAATTTCTTGACATTTTTGGCATTTCCTTTATTTACTTGAATAGATAAGTGTCCACAAACGTGCGCACACATACACACAATAGCTCTCTGTAGTGGGCTCATCTGTGTCCCCTATCTCTCATTCAGAAAGTGTTGCCCCTGACCGTGCATGCTCTCTAATGCACATCTTATTTCCAGCTTGCCGGGCAGTAGACCCCTCTGCAGTTGTTACCCACCCACCCCCCTCTTACCCCCCCTGCCTATTCTTTACCACAGGGCCATCCCTGCCCACCTATTTGTGTCGTTCTCAGCCAATGAGGAGTGACTGCATGGTGAGCAAGCACCAATGAGGCAACTTTTTCTTCTGTATAAAACTTTTCCGGACAGTTTGCCGGGTTGCACTTTCTGACAGTCCAGGGCTCCGAGAGGAAAGCACCAGCCCAGAGAGAGAGAGAGAGAGAGAGAGAGAGAGAGAGAGGGGGTAGAGAGAGAGCCAGTGTGAACGCAGGGGGGTTGCCAGTTTTTAATCCCAATCCCACACTTCAAGAAAGTGGTGGGTGAACTTTTGAGCTTTCCTTTGTTTTTAAACCTTTCAGTATCAGGGCCGCTCAGACTTGATGTGAATGTTTCTGTGTTTTCTATCCCTTTTCGTTCCTTGAAGCCTCTCCATTTCAGCGAGGATGGAGGACGCACACATGAAAGAGTCGCCGGACGTTCTGTCCCACTTTGGCGTCACTGAAGAAATCGGCCTTTCACCTGATCAGGCCAAGAAGAACCAGGAAAGATATGGCTTCAACGGTGAGGGAAAGAGAGAACGATGGATGGAGGGTTAATAGAAGGAGTATGAGTGAAATGATAGAGGAACCGAGGATGGAGGAACACATCTATCATAGCTTGGAAGTGAGAGTGGAAAAGGTTTCGAAGTATACTGTGAAATGGCTCAAGGAGACACTGGAGGGGAGAGGAAAGAGAAGTGGGATGACTGATAGATGATCTGGCACTGTGTGATGTTTTTGATAATGGTCTAATAACGGGAAACAAAGGAGAGGGGGGGTGATGTTTGTGCAGCAGGTGCATTAGAGTTTCAAGTTTCTAGCTACCGGCTTTAGCTGTTATTGAAGATTCTTGATGTGTTAGTGAATTAAAGCATGACACCTCGTTCTTGACTTTGGGAATAACTCAAGGTCAACTGCAACTGCGTGTTAAACAGAAGCCTCTCTCAGCGGGATGGAGTTGGGCAAACTCTCCAAGGAAAGCCATGAAATGCAACTGAACGCCCTTTAAAAGGCTTTAAAATGACCTTGATGTAGATGCTCCTTATTCTACATCCTGGCATTTGAAAAAAGTGACTTTAAACTCGGCCTAGCAACAGGTGTGATTAATATAATTAACGATCTCTGTTACTGTAACTGGAACACCTGCAGTAAATGGAACAAAGCCATCGTTAAAGCTAATTAATTACACCTGTGTCATGCTGTTAAAAAGACTATTGGTAACACCAACAAAGACACTGAAATGTTTGTAAGCATGCATACTGAGGTTAGCTTTGATCTTTTCACTGTCTTATCGTTGAATCTAATCTAACAGTTTGCAGTGACTCTGTGTTTGTTGTGAAGCACCTCAGCTGAAAATTGGTGTTGACAGAGGAGCTGCAAACTAGAAAAACAAAATAATTTAGGTCACTGTAAAGGTCACTTAGTTAAGTCACTATTTTAGTGCCAACTGGCAGAGGCACAAGGAGGCCTGAACAAAGCAGCTGTTACTTAGCATTTGTTCATCACTTAGGAATAGTTTATTCAAATGTGGGAATAGATTATAGTTTCTGTCATGTCAAGTTCAGTTTGTTTTCAATCCTAAAAGTTTTGGTGCTAATCCGCATTCGAGGCGCACACATTAAAAACAATGCATTGAATGTGGCATGCAGTTATGCTTTATTAATATCGTTTGTCTCTCTTCACCCACAGAGCTGCCAGCAGAGGAGGGTGAGTCCACTTTAATCCTCAAACACCTGCTTTTCATTATTTCACGTTTGAATCACATGTCACGCTGATCACTTCCTGTGTTGACAAGTCATAGTCGTTCATCCAACACCTGACGTTAGCTTCTTGGTCCCCTTGGAGATTGGAGTTATTGTGACCAAAACTACTACTTGTATACTCAAACGCACACAACACAAAATATCACTAAATCCAAGACCGCTGAAACTGAGTTGAAGATCTTGAATGGTTTCGACAATTTCTACATTTAAATCCACAAAACATTTGTATTTGTCATGCCTGTCCGGTAGTTTACTTTAACAGATCGCAGGCATCTTTATTGACTTTGCCCAAAGATCAGTAGTGCATGGAAACATGGAAATCATTTTGGAGTTAGAATTTAGGTTACTGAAGCATAATTAATAATTCCTCACCAAATATGTGTCCTTGGCTTATTAAGGTTTTCTTGATATTGCATGACATTTTTAATGTTAATATATAGATATTTTTCCATATTCAGCGAGAAATAAACACAATGACCACACACACTTATATGCTGTATGGGATTTGATGTTTATCCTTTCACAGGAAAGACTGTCTGGGAGTTGGTGGCGGAACAGTTCGAGGACCTGTTGGTCAGAATCTTACTGCTGGCCGCCGGCATCTCTTTTGTGAGTTTACTTTTCAAATGACATGATAAAGTGCATTTGTATTTACATGGTGCAGTGTGTACATGCAAGGATCCTGCAAAGGTTTCACTACAGGGTCATTGTGTATTTTAGGACCATATGCTAAAAAGACAGAGTGGTTTGTCACACTTTGCTTTTCATTCTTTACGTTATATTTACTAACATTTGGTTCCTGATCAATCTGAGCAACAGTGTCAAAACAGTAGATAGAACAATCATCCTTCATGGTTGTGAATTATTTGGCAAAATCTAGAAAAGAAACTCAAATTTTCTCAAAACTTAAAAAATTATATATTTGACATTTCCTCATAAAAACAATGATTTTTTTTAAGCTGACCAAAAAGAAGGTGGTACCAATTCCTGAAGCACTTACATGCCCTTGCTCCTTCCCATGTGTGATAAGCTTCCCCAATCCAACAGTTAAGTTCAGGTTTAAGTTACAAAAAGGTTAATATTCAGCTAAGTCTGAATGTAGGGACTAACGATCCAGAAAGAGCTGCTTGAGAGGCGACAGAGTTAAATACTAGCTGCTCAATGTCATTGCAAACCAGGTCCTATCTTGCATCTAAACAGGAGTTGATGTTGATAAAGCACCTCTCAAAACAAAACTGAACAATTAAGTAAAGTAAGAAGAATAAAGCAAAGCCGTTACAGAAGTGCACGTTTAGTAACTTTAAGAAACCTGACAGTGATGTTAGAAGACTGAGCTCCGTCTCTCCTGACCGCTCACCTGTTTCTCTATATGATTACACACTCACACTCACACTGGCAAACACAAGCCTGTCTCCATCGGCGAGTTATTAAATTACATTTGGACCCCATGTCCTCACTCTCATTTACACAAGGAATCCCTCTCCCCCCCTCCTCCACACTCGCCTGTTGCTCTCTCTGAAACTGTTTTTGTGGAGGAAGAGCAGTCTGGACGCATTGTCTTAATCTCCATCTCTGCCCTCTGGCCTCCTGCACAAGCTGTCACTATGGCCTTAGAAGGCCTGCCTGGAAGTGTGTGTGGTGTGTGTGTGTTGTGTGTGTGTGTGTGTGTCTGTGTGTGTTGTGTGTGTTGTGTGCGTTTGTGTGGTGTGTGTGTGTGTGTGTGTGTGTGTGTGTGTGTGTGTGTGTGTGTGTGTGTGTGTGTGTGTGTGTGTGTGTGTGTGTGTGTGATGTGTGTGTGTGTGTGTGTGTGTGTGTGTGTGTGTGTGTGTGTGTGTGTGTGTGTGTGTGTGTGTGTTGTGTGTGTGTGTGTGTGTGTGTGTGTGTGTGGTGTGTGTGTGTGTGTGTGTGTGTGTGTGTGTGTGTGTGTGTGTGTGTGTGTGTGTGTGTGTGTGTGTGTGTGTGTGTGTGTGTGTGTGTGTGTGTGTGTGAGAAAGAGAGTGTGCATATATGCATAGCCGGAGCTTTATTTTAAGAAAGTCTCAAGCCAGGACGAGAAACTGTATCCTTAGAAAAAGGTCAGGGATGGAAGAAACGAAGGATGGCCGGCAGCAGCAGAGAGCGAGAGACAGAGGAGGGGGAAGGGATTGAGTTGCACAATCGCATTGTTTGCTACAATGACAAACGATAGATTCAGTGTCGTGTACGGTTTCTAAAAGAGAGAACACTAAATGCTGCAGATACATGGTCATCCTATTCATACACAGGAATGTCCTGTAGTGCTGCCGAGCGCTGACAGCCTGCACCTCGCATTCTGGAGATCGATTGTGTCTTTGAAGAGAAGCAGGGTGAAGACAGACCGGAGAGTGTGAGCAACAGACTATTTTTGGGAAAGGGTGAGAAAAGATGTGAGAGCAGGAGAAAGACAAACAGGGTAGATTATGATGAGGAGGAGGAGGAGGAGGAAAGAAAGTGAGATGCTGTGTGACGAAGATGGGGCTGGTCTCTGGTCAGCTCTGTGCTCCGCTGGCCTGCAACAAATCTGTGTCAATGTCAACACAAAGCCTTTCCGAAACACACCCCCGCCCCCCCCCCACTTCCCACTCACAGGAGCGCAACACATGTTCATCTATAGGTTCGGAAAAAGTCACATGTGAAGCATAGATTTAACACATAGGATGACATAAGAGACGACTATGTCATTCGATCCAGTGATTGTTCGTAACTGTCAGAAATAGAGCTACTCAACGCGACTGTTTTATGTTTAATACTGACCAGCAATAAAAGATAATACTGTAACCCTGAGCAACAGGTGCACAACAAAGCATCAAAAATGTATTACATTAACTCAAAATGAATCAGTCAGTATCACACTGACTCACCTCTTAAACCCGAACAGATCAAATCTTTAAAGATAACAATAAGGATAATTAAAAAAAACACTTCTCTGTAAATTAAAAGGTCCCAGAGCCTAACTTTATGTCAGCAGATGACAGTCCAAAAGTGTTTTATTTAACTGTTTAATTGTTAAAATATTAGAGAAAGCAGCGTATCCTCAACCTTTAAAAGCTGTGACCAGAGAAAACCTTTTTTTCTCCACAAATTACTTTGATAAACAATTAATTTATCACATTTTGGTGGTTGAGTAATGGTCTTAACACTTCATCATTTCACTCAAAGAAGTTCACTGAAAAGCACCTATGTATTTGATGTGACCTCAATGTTTGTAAAAAGTGAATTAATAAAGTAACATTGGAAATCAACAGCTGTCTGTCACCACACACAAAAAACCTAAACATCATTTAGTGGAAGTTATTTAATTTAAATTTGTATTCTGACATGTTCTTTCTCTCAGGTCCTGGCTTTGTTTGAGGATGGTGAGGAGACTGTCACCGCCTTTGTCGAACCCCTCGTCATCCTCCTCATCCTCATTGCCAACGCTGTGGTTGGAGTGTGGCAGGTCAGGAAACACACACACACACATACACACACACACACACACACACACACACACACACACACATGCTAACACACATGCTAACACACGCAGAGGAACAATCACAAGGACACATGCCTGCCTCTGAATGTGTCTTTTACACACACCTAAATAGCCTCTTATACTTAGTAACAGTCACACACAATAAATCAGACGCGGTGGACGGCCTGTTCAGGTCGCGGCTCGCGTCCTTTACAGCGAGAGAGTCCAGAATGAGAGGCATGACGTCAGCCGGAGGTGAAAAGGCGAAAAGGTTAAGCCAACAGGAGCGAGGGGGGGGGGGGGGAAGCGGACTGGGACCCTTGAAGGCTCAAACTGCAGTCTGCTTTGTTACAATCCACACTGTACAATCCACAGTAAAAATACAGAGGGACGATCGGGTTACCACGAGCCTGGAGAGTGTGTGTGTGTGTGTGTGTGTTTGTGTGTGTGTGTGAGAGTGGTAGTGGGGTTCATTATAATCCTGCGGCGGTCATTTGGAAACTATGCACAAGGATTCACACATGGGGGGTAAGGGGGAGGACGGAGAGAGGGAGGGCGGCTGGCATAAGTTGGGCTTTACACTTTGAGGCGGCGGAGGGCAGCCTTGGAAGAAACCACAGACTGAACTGACCGTCAACCTGTTGTTCTGCAGACTGAGACACACACACACACACACACACACACACACACACACACACACACACACACACATACACACACACACACACGCACACACACACCACACACACTCACACACACACACACACACACACACACACTCCATGCTTATTGAAAAGCTGTTTGCTTATGCGCTGTCAATCAAATCTGACCAAACCAAGACCTCACAGCACTGATGATGGAGATTAGCAGTTAGTGTTAAATGTTAACAATAAATGTTGTTCAAAGTGAGTCATGAATATATGGAAAAACCAAGCTTTCAATGACAAAAAAAAGCTGCAATGATCTTTTTTTCCCCCTTTATCCGGACAAAAAACTGAAATTCTCACACAGTGTATTCCTTCAATGTTTTGCAGACTGTAGCAGATGATATCACATTTTCCTGACAAAATAACAGAAAACCCTTAAATACAATCAAATATAACAATATGTCTTACTTTATACACTATAAAAGGCACATTGACACAGGCAGAGTTGGTACAGTGTTGGCATGATCGGGAGGTTGTAGTCCTGATATGACTATAATAATGTATGTGTTTTATTTTGTGTGTTGCAACAGGAGCGCAATGCAGAGAGTGCCATTGAAGCTCTGAAGGAGTACGAGCCTGAGATTGCGAAAGTTTACCGGTCGGACAGGAAGAGCGTGCAGAGGATCAAGGCCAGGGAGCTGGTTCCTGGTGACATCGTGGAGGTTTGCGGTAAGATTCACCAAAACTGGAAGGCTTTCTTTTGAAACTTTAGCTTCTGCATGGACTCAAAGTCACTGTTGAACCACACCAGGATCAGTCAGATTATTTCACTGCAGCAGTGATCTGCTATGCTACAGTATATACTTTGTGTATGACGGTGAACAGGAAATCCTGTAATTTAAGTGTAATAAAGTGTCTCAAAGCCAGCTACAAATACGCTGACTTGAGCCACGAAAGGGTAAAAGGTCAAACCTAATTTCCTGAAACCAACAAAATGGGATTTGTGGGGTCCTTATTTTAGAGGAGAGGAGAAAGCATCTGCCCAATTCCTTCGCACAACATAACCTTAAGGTGCAAATTATTGTGTATGTTTTTAAAATGCAAAGGTAGCAGGTAAAAGTATGACTTTGCCTTCAACAAAGCTATATGAATTTTGAAACTGCTCTTTCACTGTCTGGAGAAGAGTAATAAAAGTCCTTAGCATTCAAAAAAATGCCTCAAATGTTGCAAACATTTCTCTGTGAAAGTCAAATATTGATAGAGTGGATACTACATACTAAGAATATACTGTACAAATGTTCCCAATACACTTTTAATGCGAAGCATGTAGTATTAATTAAGCCTAAGCTCATCTCTGATTCAGGACAACCTTATTTTTTAAATCAGTTTTCACACAAAGAGGAAATCAAGCTTCTTGGCTTATCTGCCCTCATACTTCAAAAGAGTGTGTGTGTGTGAGTAGCTTCATGTCTCCTGATGTCCTTGAGAATGAAAATGGGCCCTTTTAAGGAAGTCACAGAAAAAAGGGGGTGGAGGGGAACTGAAAGAACTTGCTGCAGGAAGAAAAAAAACAAGCTTGAGTATAAATACACTTAATATTTACGGCGTGCTCGCTCCTCTGTCTCTCCCTCTGTTTGCTGTACACCTGTTCCTTTCATTTCATGATCTCCCCAAGGTCTCCCTCTCTGACTGTGATATCAGTTTTCAACAACAACACTATCCATCCAGAGTGCTTTAACCAGTCAATCAACCCTTTAACCCCCCCCCCCCCCACACACACACACACACACACACACACACACACACACACACACACACACACCACACCACACACACACACACACCACACACACACACACACACACACACTACCCTGCTCTAATGCTGCATTCAATTTGATATGAAGCTGTTTGTACTGTACCAAAGACAAAAGCAGCCAAACAGATCGTATAAAATGATTATTCATATCTAAATAAAATTATCTGTGTTTCTGTTTGTGTGGACTCTAGTTGGTGACAAAGTGCCAGCTGACATCAGGCTCATCTCCATCAAGTCTACCACCCTGCGTGTGGATCAGTCCATTCTCACTGGTAGGTGTTGCAGGACAGAAACACATGAAGTATTTTTTCATGCCTGCGTGATTTACTGACCACACTGCCCAACATGTGTGTGTCCTACAGGTGAGTCCGTCAGTGTGATCAAACACACCGATTCCGTCCCAGACCCCCGAGCCGTCAACCAGGACAAGAAGAACATGCTGTTCTCCGTGAGTCTTTTTAATCTGAGTCCTGCTCTGTTTGCTTTCTTTAAAACCTGCATCAAACCATTACCGTGCTGTTCATTCTCCAGAAACCCTACAACTGTCAACTCTCTATATAGCATATCAAACTTTTTCCATTATCAACATTTTCCTTGTCATAGCTTTAGACACACTACAGTTAAAACACTTTACATACCAAATAAAGTTTGTGCCATCATTTTTTACATCTCAAAACCCATTAGTTATCAGTCCAAATCACCTACCAAGGCACCGGTCAATATTTGTTTCCGGTGTAGCCAGAGGATAATTAGGGCAAGACTTCCTTTTCTGTGTGCTGGTCATTGGTTAGAGTCCAATTAGCAACATGGCGTGAATGGAGTTGAGAGAGGACGTCTACAACTTGATAGTTAAAGAAGAATATTTATATGTATTTAGTTTTAGATCATTAAGGTAAAAAGTGGTCATTCAATAGCTGAATAACTTCAGAAAATTGCATTCTGTCCAATGTGATCCACCTTTCTCGCTTAAAAACACAGACTTTTTACCTGCATTCAAAAAAGCCTGCTCAAACATGATTGGTAGATATTTCCCTGACTACAAATAGGTTTGAATGTCTTAACTAATCATCATGAATTTGGTTCGCACATCATGACAATTTCCCCAATTTGACACATTTCAATTAAAACCACAAATGTCAACCTCACGGAGGCGCCAAAAGAAAATGTCTCCAACATTTATCGAATTCCTCCGAGGAACATTCATTTCCGTTTAAAAACGAATTATGGTAAGCTTTATTAACCAACTTTGTAATGTTTTTCTGTTCAGGGCACCAACATCGCTTCAGGCAGAGCAACTGGTGTTGCTATCGCCACCGCTGTCTCCACTGAGATCGGTAAGATTCGTGACCAGATGGCCGCCACCGAGCAGGAGAAGACCCCCCTGCAGCAGAAACTGGACGAGTTCGGAGAGCAGTTGTCCAAGGTGGGTGAGACAGGAAGACACATCTGAAACTGTATCAACAAAGTTTTTATCTCTTTTGATTCATTCTGTGAAATAAGATATAACAAAATATAGGACATTTGTAGATAAAACAAAGCCACCACCAATGTCTCACACACCCTCTGCCTCTCTGCAGGTCATCTCCCTCATCTGTGTGGCCGTGTGGATGATCAACATCGGACATTTCAACGACCCCGTCCACGGAGGCTCCTGGATCCGCGGCGCTGTTTACTATTTCAAGATCGCTGTGGCTCTGGCTGTGGCTGCCATCCCTGAAGGTAAACTCCTGACATTAAGTTTTCTAAGAATATTTATCTTGTGTAGCTCATCTAATATGCTGCTGCACAATTAAAAATCAAATGAGGGCGACTTGCTGATTACTTCTCATCAAAGTCTGCTTGGGACCTAGGTTTTCACTGTATATGTTTTAATGGTTTATTAAAGCCTAATGTGGCGACAGATGTCTAAATTAATGATCTTTAGATGTGGAGTTTAACAGAAGTGAGTTTACCAAACCTCGGCTTGAGACTACATTAGCTGAGACTAGCATAAAAACACTTGTTTAAAAAAATGGGATAGATAGGAAAAAAACTGACATTAAAATATAAGAATAATAAAAAATATATAAATACAACAAAGTAATTCATGTTAATGTTGATCTTTTTTTCTTCATTATATAAGGGGCATAAAACTCTAGAATCTGACTCATATAGAGAGGCGAAGTCCCGCCCATCTACTTCCGACCCTTGGGACCTTATTTCGGAAAAATTATGTATTGAAGTCAATGGGGAGAGAAAGATATCTTTCGATCCCGTTTGAATTGTGCCACGAATTACACATATGATGTTTGTCAATTTAAAAAAATCATTTCCATGTAAAAAAAGTCACAGTTTGTTGTAAAACTGTTGAAATATAAGACTATGAAAAATACGCAACTAGAAAGACTACAAATCCCAGAATTCCGGTCCTGCATGCTGGCTCTTACGGAACCGACTAACTCCCCTTGTGTGTATGTACAGCTCTCAACATGCCCAGACTTGTAGTGATTTTCACCTCTTTTAAAACTTTTCGCCTCATTCTGAAAGAAAGAGGTTAAATGTGCCAACGTGACGGCCGTCTTGGTGTGTGGTGCGAGACGGGAGATGTAGTTCATTGAGCGGTTTCACACACAAAAAAGTGTTACCTCACAGTTTTACGACACATTTTTATTTTTTTGACTTGCAAAATTATCTTTTGCAGTCAGTATTCATGGGCTTTTTTCAAGTTGATTTCTTTAAGGTATAAAATGTCCTGAAGAGTAGAAATAAGTACATCCATCTTCATTCTTTTTTGATGGTTTTGGTGGCAGGTGAAGGAGAACAAAGACATTTGTATCTTTATTATTTTACTCCAAACCTTCCACAGTGTTCTGCTGGAAGATGCGTTGCTATGTGTCCTGGTCTGGCCTGGGATCTCTGCCAAGTCAGCCTTTTCTAATAAACTCATAAAGACCAGCTTATCTGTCTCCTCTTGACTTGGAGAAGCAGCTGTTTGTAAGACAGGAAGCCAAATAATCTTTTATTCCTTGAACTAATTGTTGGTCCCCACCCAACTCCAACAATAGATGACAGTTGGAAAGACGTCTGGTCCATAAATCAAGAGCTTGCATAGTTACTCATCTCAGTCATACCATCTTAACTGCTGTACCCTCAGTTATGATGAAGAGCTTAAATAACATCAAACTCCTCCTTTGCCAATGATTAATTATTTGTGGACAACAACAGTCTGAGATCAAGAGGTGTTCACATTCCTCCATGTCACATTGCAGTTAGCTGCTCACCGTGCCAACGCTCATCACAGACTACAGTCCGATGATGCCACAAGGACAACATCATCTGAAAACAGATGCCCCCCATAACGCCCCTCAACTGGACACGCTCCAGACCTTCTCCACAACATTGTCAGAGTTGATTTTGGCCTTGAACAGATCTGACCGTGCTGCAGCCCCCCCCCCCCCCCCCAACAGGAATACCTTAGGTTGGGTGTCCTCCAGCTGATGTGTGAAGAGCTGTGAAGGGAACACCTGTGTCACCCGGCCTGTGGCAGGAGGGTTACAGTCCTGGTTGTTTTGACCAGACATGTGAGATCATTCTGTCTTGTCACCATGTTGTTTGGCTGAGATAGATATGTGACCCCCGTGAAGACCACTTGTAAATCAATACATGTCCTTCAATGTCTACGTTAAAATCTGGGAGAAAACTGAGAAAAGTTTTAATGATTAATAAAGAGGCTCTATTATGCCTTTTGGGCTTTTCCCTTCCTGTAAACAGTTATATCATTTTTGCTGCATGTTAATGGTCTGCAAAGTCTAGAATCCCCATTTTACCTCCCACACACTCCCCCCCCCCCCCCCCCCCCCCCGTTCCCCCCGGCCTGAAACGCCTCCATTGGACTCCTTTGTTGACTTCCGTAACATGGTGACATCACTATGTAACACTTGCCCCTCTATTGACTAGCACTCCAACACATGTACGGGATAGGCTAAGGGGCGGGACTAGCACAAATCACAAATCTGAAAATAAGCACAATAGGGCCCCTTTAAATTAATCTGGTAGAGCAGTCTCCCATTTACTAAGGCTGAGTATTCAAAATCCTACCTGCTGCCCATTGCTGGATGTCTTCTACTCTCTCTTCCACCTTTTCTGTCTATTTGGGGTATCCCATCCATAAAAGACAAAATGCAAGAAAAACCCAAAATCCAAACAAATGTAATGTTACACATGTTGGTTAGTAATTGATAAACAACTGATAATTCCGGGGTTGTAAGTATTCTTTAAGTAGGTCCTCTAAAATGTTTTGTCCACCTTCCATCAATGATGTTTGTTCCACTCTAATCACTTTCTTCGTCCATCCCAGGTCTGCCCGCCGTCATCACCACCTGCCTGGCTCTGGGAACCCGTCGTATGGCCAAGAAGAACGCCATCGTGAGAAGCCTGCCCTCTGTGGAGACTCTGGGCTGCACCTCGGTCATCTGCTCCGACAAGACCGGGACCCTCACCACCAACCAGATGTGTGTGACCAAGGTAGGTTCAAACACATGCAGATATACTTTAAAGGGGACCTATTATGCAAAATCCACTTTTTCATGTCTTTTATACATAAACATGTCCCCACTTTTTGTCCTGATCCATTTATATAAAAACCTGTCTGAAAATGAGCTGATCAGATTTTGGCCACTTTGTGATGTCATAGCGATTTTTTGGCTTGTGTAACCATTAGCCAATCACCAACCAAGGTAACACCCGCCCACCTTATCACCTGAATCTCCTCCTAGAGCACCATTGTGTTCTTTTTAACCAATATCTCTCAGTGGGGAGTGGGCTCCTTATTTCATCTAAAGTAACAGACAGAGAATCAGCACTTTTGAAACAGGGCTGAAACAGAGGGGATTATGGGATGCTACAATGCATGATCTGTTTGGTATTTCGAGCAAAACACTTCAGAGAGATGTTTTGTACATAACTGAGACCTATAATATATTGATGAAAAACAGTATAATAGGGGACCTTTAAATCAGTCCAGAAGGGTGAGAAAGGAGTGCATATCTAATGTGTTTTTCATCCTGCAGATGTTCATCATTGATAAATTCGACGGTGATAATGTTTCCCTGGGTCAGTTTGACATCTCCGGCTCAAAGTACACACCTGAAGGAGAAGTGTAAGTGTCACGAGAGTTTAAAATGTAATGTTTTAAGACCATGCACGCACACAAAACAACCTTTTTCTGACTGAATGTTTTTATTTTCTTACAGGACAAAGAATGGCAGCTCTCTGAAGTGCGGCGAGCATGATGGTCTGGTTGAGCTGGCGACTATCTGCGCTCTGTGCAACGACTCCTCTCTGGACTACAACGAGGTCTGCAGAGAGCTACAGTTTGTGTTCATGATATAATGTTTAAATGTGACGCACTACCAACCTAAAATGTGCCTTTCTTATTTCTCTGTAATGCAGGCCAAGGGTATCTATGAGAAGGTGGGTGAGGCCACTGAGACAGCGCTGTCCTGTCTGGTGGAGAAGATGAACGTGTTCAACACTGAGGTGCGCGGCCTGTCCAAGGTGGAGAGGGCCAACGCCTGCTGCTCTGTAAGTCTACCCAAGATATCTCACAGTGTGGAGCATGTAATACGTGTACATTAAAGGATTCGTTTAAAGTGATAAACACAAGGAAAATTATCTTAAGTATATAACCTAAAAGGTGATAATATTCTAATGTCCACTCCCCTTAACCCTTGTGTTGTGTTCAAAAGCTGTTACCGTTCATGGTGTTCGCAGGTCAATTTTGACCCATGATTTATTTCAGTCCAAAACACAAAAAAAAAATTACTATCATCCAATATTGTTTGAACTACATCATAACTAACTTATAATGCATTCATAACCGTACAATCCTGTTGTAATTTAACGTTATGTCCCAAAACACATTACACCACATATTGCACACGTGCATGTGTGTGTGTTCAGGTTCAAGTGTTAGTGTACATATTCTTTGAGAAAGGTCGAGTTCTCGTGGGGGGAGGGGGGCAGAGGGAAGGGAGACCAGGTGCATGTTGCGAAAAATTATTGTTACAGTTGATGAAGGGGGTGGGGCTGGGGTGTCTAAAGTCAAAGATGAATCTTGATTGGGCCAAATTTGACCTTGAGTCACCCAAAACAATTCTGCTGGGTCTCCCCAGACCCGAACACCAAATATATTATAATATATTATTGTTTTTTAGAGACCTTCAGACGTGGCAAAAATGGTCAAAATCAGTTTTGTAGTGTTTATATAGCATTTGCGGAGGATATCATGAAGCCTTGTTCTGATAAAAAAAACTAGAGCGTAGTTATTATATAATTTTAACTTGAAACGGGTCACGGGAGACCCGAACACAACATAAGGGTTGAGTAGTAAAACTAAAAGCTGTTATTGCAGGTTTCAGTGGAACTATATCCATAACATGCAGTGTTCTAATAGATATCCTTTGCTTAATTTTAGTTTTCCTTTTCCACCGGTTGATTTTCTTTGCTTTTTGTAACTTTTTGTGATTTTGTAACAGGTGATCAAGCAGCTGATGAAGAAGGAGTTCACGCTGGAGTTCTCCAGAGACAGAAAGTCCATGTCAGTTTACTGCTCTCCTGCCAAGTCTGGCAAAGCTCCTGTTGGAAACAAGATGTTTATCAAAGTGAGTGTGTGACATACAGTATACAGTAAAGAGTCCACCTGCAGTGTCAACGTACTGTAGTCTTAGTCCTAAACCAAAGTAATAGATAAATGTGAATCTCATGAAGGTGCATGATAAAAAAGTCAAGGCATCACCAAAGATATTACAATTCCTCCTCAGGTTATGTCTGAAGCAAATGTCAGGGTAATCTATTTCATAGTTTTTGATATATTTCACTCACAACTACGACTGTGAACTTCATGGTGGCAGGAGAAGACTTAAATCATTAGGATGCCTCTTTGAAGCAAAATGTTGTTGCAGTCCATCCAAAAGTTGAAGGACTGACCCAACGAGGCTGACATCCCGAAAAACATGCCACTAGCAAAGGAACATATTTGAGGAACTTCAAACAGAATTAATAACAAACAGTTCCACATAAAGCTGTTTAAGTAGAAATAAGTTGTCAAGAAATAGTCTAAATGAAGTTGAAATCAATCAAATGGTATATAACGTATGCTATATATTGATAACGATTATATTACCTTCATCACCAGGGAGCTCCAGAAGGAGTCATCGACCGCTGTGCGTACGTCCGTGTGGGAACCACCCGGGTTCCTCTGACCGGCGCCGTCAAAGACCACCTCCTGTCCGTCATCAAGGAGTGGGGCACGGGGCGCGACACCCTCCGCTGCCTGGCCCTCGCCACCTGCGACACCCCTCTGAGGAGGGACGAGATGAACCTGGAGGACGCCACCAAGTTTATAAACTATGAGGTAGGAGACAGAAAAGACATCACAGATGTATCTGTACAAACACACATCTCATTGAGATGTTGCAGTGGTTTATGTACTTGATTGCAAGAAGTTTCAAAAGACATTAAACAATTTGCTCTCCTTTTCTCCAGACTGACCTGACCTTTGTGGGCTGTGTTGGCATGCTGGACCCCCCCCGTAAGGAGGTCATCGGCGCCATCGAGCTCTGCAGGGCTGCTGGCATCCGTGTCATCATGATCACCGGTCAGTATACAAGTCGTACATAAGGATGTGTGGCTTTTGCGTCCACTGAACTTTTGTAAAGCGACCACAAAGGGTTAAATTAGTCCAAAAAAAAACGTTTCTTCTGTTTCTCTCTGCCATTGTTCTGCCTATTATGTTCAACATGTACTTTGTAACATGATAAAAGTCAGGCGCAAAAAAAGGGGCAATTTCCACTCAAAGATATTATGGGCAAATAAAACGTGTGCAAAATCTTTGGTGAATCAGACATTGACAGATAGTGGTTGCAAATGATGCTCAATCCATTTTTTCCCGTCAGTATTTTAATCTCATCTTGTAGGACAACAAGCAAAGTCTCGACAAAAAACAATGAAGTCTTCCTTTCTGTCCTCCCAGGTGACAACAAAGGCACAGCTGTGGCCATCTGCCGCCGTATTGGCATCTTCACTGAAGACGAGGATGTCACTTTCAAGGCCTTCACCGGTCGTGAGTTTGATGATCTCTCTCCATACGATCAGAAGATCGCCGTCAAAAAGGCTTGCTGCTTCGCCAGAGTGGAACCGGCCCACAAGTCCAAGATCGTTGAGATCCTGCAGAGCTTCGATGAGATCACAGCCATGGTGAGGAGAAGAAAAGAGTGTTAATTTTGTTGGGTTTGTACTGAAAATGAAATGATGCCAAATACATATCTTCCTCTGTCCTCTATTTCCAAGACGGGTGACGGAGTGAACGATGCCCCCGCCTTGAAAAAAGCGGAGATTGGCATCGCCATGGGCTCTGGCACTGCCGTTGCCAAGTCTGCCTCTGAGATGGTCCTGGCTGACGACAACTTTTCCTCCATTGTGTCTGCTGTCGAGGAGGGCAGAGCCATTTACAACAACATGAAGCAGTTCATCCGCTACCTCATCTCCTCCAACGTGGGCGAGGTCGTCTGGTGAGTGCACACTGACCAATAAAGACACACAAATGTCAGAATGTCAAACACTTTGAGAAAGGGGAATTTGCATTAGGGCTGCGTAACACACTAGTTGTTTTATTGTATTATCTGAAAGTGTCCCCACCACTTTTCAAAACAAACCGACGCCCATTATCTAGGCATATTGTTGTTTGACCAATAAATAATCTCCAACCCATTTAGGCATCCAGCCCGTGTCAGGGAGTCTTCTTGACACATCTCTTGGAATAAGTGGCAATTTAGCTAATAATGAGTATCCCACCACGTTTTGTGGCGTTTAAAGTTAGTAGAAATATAAACGGCATTACAAAGGCTCGATGCCACGAACACGTCTCATTTAGTTTTTTGCAGTGTAATGATAAGACAATAAAGCAGTTTTGATTCGAAGAGAGTGCCTTTGAGTTCTGTTGGTGATAAAATGATGTGCCCCCCCCCCCCCCCTCAGTATCTTCCTGACGGCGGCGCTGGGTCTCCCCGAGGCTCTGATCCCAGTCCAGCTGCTGTGGGTGAACCTGGTGACTGACGGTCTGCCCGCCACTGCCCTGGGCTTCAACCCCCCCGACCTGGACATCATGGGCAAAAGACCCCGTTCCCCCAAAGAGCCCCTCATCTCCGGCTGGCTGTTCTTCAGATATATGGCCATCGGAGGTACAACACATTATGTCCTCGCTCTGTCTCTCTCTCTCTCTCTAACCGTCTCATCCAGTGAAGCGTTTCATTTGGTTTGAGTTGTACTGCAGATAAGCCCCTCGTCCCCTGGTGGTTCGGCAATTTCCTTTTCATTCGGTCTTAAATGGCCTCGAGCGATTGTTGATAAGAGTTGTTTTTAATCTAAATGATGTTGTTGCCATGGTAACACATCCGCCTCCTGGGTACCATGCACCAGATTCATATGGATTCCTTTCACAACGTCATCAAAAAAACTCACTAGCAGCGATGATATGATCCTGATCCGCAGGTTGACTCAATATGTTGGATCTAAATTCCTGTATAAAGACGTTCTGTGTGTAGATGAAAGCCTGCAGACTTCTTTATGAAACACTTTCATCTCTCCCCCAGGTTACGTTGGAGCAGCAACAGTGGCTGCCGCTGCCTGGTGGTTCCTGTACTGCGACGAAGGCCCCGGAGTGAGCTTCTACCAGCTGGTAAGAAGAAGACATATTCGGCTCATTTCAAGTTCATATTTGCATTTTGTGTCTCCACTGTGACATGTCTCCATGCTTTAATGATCAAAAAGCTCTTTATTTTTCTCATACTGCCTGTGCTGCAGCACCTCTTTTCACCCTCTGTCTGAAACCAGAGCCCAGTCTGCTCTGATTGGTTAGCTGGCAGGCTCTGCCTCATGTGGTTATTGTATTCATGTTTCTGTGGTCTTAATTTTAACTTTTGTTCTTACTTTTGAAGCACTTTGTGAATTTGATTTATGTGAAAGGTGCTATAATAAATAAACGTATTATTATTATTATTACATTACATGTACAAATACCAGGCGTCTGTGGACTCCTCCAGCTGCTATATGTGAAACCTTTCCTGTAGAACTCCTGTAAAAACCCTCTACCAACAAACTTCATGAAAGGCTTTCAGCGTCTTAGAGACCATGCAGGGTTTAAGTCATATTTGATTCCTCCTTCCTCTCTGTCAGTCCCACTTCATGCAGTGCAGCGATGACAACGAGGACTTTGAGGGGATCCACTGCCATGTGTTTGAGGCCGCCCCCCCCATGACCATGGCTCTGTCCGTGCTGGTGACCATCGAGATGTGCAACGCTCTCAACAGGTCAGAATGCACTGTGAACACATCCTGCCAGCACTCACTGCTACACTGTTAGTGAGCAAGACACAATATCCTCCCTAAGTGGTGAGGAATACATCAACTCAACTCCTGAACATATGTGCACATTTAAAGTACTTTAACATTATTATTATATTTTACTTAAAGGTAGGGTAGGTAAGTTTGAGAAACCGGCTCGAGTTACACTTTTTGTTATATTCCATGGAATGCTCTTAACATCCCGATAGCAATGAATATCTTAAGTGCTTTGACAAAAAATCCATAAAAAATGTCATCTGTGGAAGCCATGTACTGTAAAAAGTACGACCAATCATTTTAGTCGGCCCGGCTAAAATAACTGGATGGCCTACCTGCCTGTCAGCCTTCCATCTGTGCACAAACTTATCCTCGTGCCCTCATTGGTCATGTGGCGTTCGTGTGTGTTGGAGGAGGGGCTCTGTAGGAAGTGGCAGATTTTCTCTCCGGTCGTGTTATTTCAAATTCTAGCGATCTCGAGCCGGTTTTCCAAACTTACCTACCCTACCTTTAACTGACGCCTTTATTGAAAGTAGCTTACAATAAGTGCAATAAACCATAAGATACAAACTCATAAAAACAAGAAAAGTGCTGAGATACTCACTTCAAATAAGCCCAACCATTGTAAGTGCTGCTGCATTAGTTTCAATAGTTTTTATTTGTTGTTTATTGGTACTTCTTTTCCACTACAATTCAGTAACAGAATAAGGGATTTACTTTTTTACAATTAGCTGATAATACTCTTGTACTTTCAATTAAATTCGGAATTTAAAAGCAAAACTTTCCCTTTAAAATTGTTGATACTTCTCCCACCCCTGATCAATATATGGTACAATATATAAAAAGTTCAAATTAGCTCCCCATTTTCTGTAATAGGTACTTTTAAAGCATTCCTCATATCTATAAAACAGAGGATCATGAGCGTTCATTGATAGTATACATTTTGAAACTATGTCTATGGTAGGAACACAACATTTAAGGACCTCCTGTTTCAATATTTACCATATAGATGTGTTTTTACATCCTTTTTTTTACTTTTCATAAGCCCTCCCACATGTTCAGCCTGTATTAACGTCCCCCTCCTCTCTCCTCCCCCAGCCTGTCAGAGAACCAGTCTCTGGTGCGCATGCCTCCCTGGAGCAACCTGTGGCTGGTGGGCGCCATGACGCTCTCCATGTCCCTCCACTTCATGATCATCTACGTCGACCCCCTGCCCGTGAGTCCCCACCTCTCACTCTCTCTCACTCTCACTCTCACTCTCACTCTCACTCTCACACTCACACTCACACTCACACTCACACTCACACTCACACTCACACACTCACACTCACACTCACACTCACACTCCACTCACACACTCACACACACACTCACACTCACACTCACCACTCACGCTCACCACTCACACACACACACACACCACCTCACACTCACACTCACACTCACACGTCACATCACACTCACACGCTCAGCACTCACACTCACACACACCACCTCACACTCAACGCACTCACACTCACCCTCACACTCCACTCAACACTCACACTCACCCTCAGCACTCCGCTCCCACACACACTCACACACAACACTCACACTCACACACACAGCACACTCACCCTCACACTCCACACCACACTCACACTCACCTCACACTCACACCTCACACACACCTCACTCACAACACACTCACACCTCACACACAACACTCACACTCACACTCACACTCACACTCACACTCACACACCCACACACTCACACTCACCTCACCTCACCCCTCACCCCTCCACACTCCACTCACAATCACACTCACACTCATCACCTCACTCACACTCTCACTCACACTCTCACTCTCACTCTCACACACACACACACCCCACACACACCACACACACACTAGCACGTATAATTACAGTTATAAGCACTCTTACTATTCAAAATGCTATAAAAGTGTAATCATAATGCATTTATGGGATTTTATATTGTGTTAAAGGTCGAGTATCATAATCATTCATTAGTTTAGACTGCAGATTATCTGATTATAATGCATTGTAAAAGAAATATGAAGACTATAGGAATTATAATAGACTTTGATCCTGCAAAAAAATGAGTGATAAACTTTGAAGTAATTTGATACTTTTAAGTCTTCATAAAAAGCTTTAACGTGTTGAGATTATAGGTATAGTGCTTATGTTATAACTATACAGTGCTATAAGCAGAACATGGTTTATTGTAAAAGACATTACAGATGTGGCGTGTTACCATTTCTTCTCTTCTTTGCATCTATTGAAAAGTGTATTCACATTGATGTTACTAGTATCTGTAGAATGAACACACAGCTTGTTTCTAACTGGACGTTGTGCGTGTAGTTTCGCAGCTTCAACTCTTTCCCCTCTCTGGTCCAAGATGATCTTCAAGCTCACACACTTGAACGTGGAGCAGTGGCTGATGGTCCTGAAGCTCTCCTTCCCCGTCATTCCCTCGACGAGGTGCTCAAGTTTGTGGCTCGCACATATCTGGAGGGTAAGCTCAACATGTGACCTGTGACCTGTATGTATATGGTGTGTTTTAAATATAAACAGTATGGGGTAATACACATTTCTGGAACAAATATCAGTCTGTGTTATAAACAAGAAAACATGTGGTTAGACTTAGAGGTCAAGTTTGAATACACTTTTTTTTTTTTTTTCTAACTTAGTTTTTATTTCAGATTCAGTTTCATTATACATACATGTTCACATTCTGGTCAACAGTTTTTCCATTTTCATTTAGCTGTATCTACATAGCCAACATAACAAAAAGAAAAAAAGTACAAAAAGAGATCAATAAAAATAATAATAAAATAACACATGAAAATATAAATACATACAAATAATAATAAAATAAAACAGCAAAGGAGGGGGAGGGTCATCTGTGTTGTGTGTCTGTGTCTGTGTCTGTTGTGTGTGTGTGTGTGTGTGTGTGTGTGTGTGTGTGGTGTGTGTGTGTGTGTGTGTGTCTGTCTGTGTGTGTGGTGTGTGTGTGTGTGTGTTCACATTCTGAAATAGATTTAGACAACTAATGCTGATCACATTATTATGAGTGTTTACGCAGCCTAAATACTTAGCTGGTATAATTTTTTTCAAAATGTTATTACAAGATGTAAGACTTTACTTGTAAAATATACATATGTGTACATTTAAGAACACACAACTTCATCTTACTTTAACATTTCAACCTAAAGCTGTGCCCCAATGTCTCATTGTAATCTATTCGTACTTATTTGAATGTATTTGAACTGTTATTCTATCCTCTCTGCTTAAATGTAATCTTTGATGATATTTCTCTAATTTCCTCTCCTTGTTACTTTTCTCTCCTTCATTCCTTTTTCTGACAATCCAGTCTCCCCTTTATCACTAGCAGGTATTCCCCTGACTCATGATACAGATTTAAGCATGTTGTGTTTCTCTGTCTGGACTAATGCATGTGGATCCTCCTGTTTGGCTGGAGGTGCATCGGTCTTGATATACCATTAGAAATCTAAAAATTGGTCTGAGCATCAAACAGAGTATTTGCATCGTGGAAGTTTTGAAATGTCGTTTAGGTTATTGCTGACAGATGCTTTTGATCCTCTGAAAGTAGGAATAACATTAGCACATGTTGACTATGCATTAAAGTGATCAGACTAATAATGTGCCTTTTAATAACAAAGTTGTTGCAGGATTATTCCTCACACTGACCTTGTATGCTTAGGTGTGGTTTTATAAACAAGGTTACATGTAATAATGTTTGCCTGCTTTTGTGACATGACTGATAAATAATGCTTATTTTCTGGTGACCTTACCCGACTCTTGCACTAGGTGGGGTAGTTTTCCACCTAGTTAATGTTGTGTTTAGATTTGTTACCTTTATTTATTTACTTGAAATTGAACTGTATTTAACGTCAATCTCCTACTATATGACACTGTAAAACATTAACTCAGTGTGATCAGGGTGAACTCCACATTAACTCACTGTGATCATATGTAAAAATGAGCACTCTTTGAGCAGGAAGTTACTGGTTTCGGCCTAAATTGTTCCTGCACATTTTTCATTTTTAGAATGTAAACATTGTTGAAAATAGTTTTCTAAAGGGCAGATTTTGTTAGCTTTGACAAATACAGGCTAGCTGTTTGGTGTGTGCTAAGTGATGCTAGCCAGATGCTGAAAGGCAGTGTCTATACTCTCATCTAGCTTACTGTGTGCAACAAATCAAATCAGACATCTCCTATAACAAATGCACCCTTCTCTCTAACAATTAACAAACCCGTCACACTCCCTTTAGCTCACAACTAACTGTCTTATGTTTCCTCTGCAGGGAAAATCTAGAGTCCGAGCGACAGGTGGAGAGTCAGGACGGAGAGAGAGAGAGAGGCAGAGCGCTCTCACGAGGAGAGCCCACCTGATCAAAACATCTAGTGGCATGAAAACTAAATAAAAACACAAAGCCATCTGAAAATACACCAAAAGAAAGCTGCAAAATATTTTTTCTGTGTATGTACTGAAGTTAATATATAGGTGAGAGTTAAAAAACTATTCTGTGTTGATTCTATTCTTAAAGAATAAAGATATGTATTAAAGAAAAGTGCGACTCTGTATCAGTGCTGTGTTTTCTGTTGGATTTGTATACAAGGCTGTATCGATCGTAAAGGATATCCAAATAACAAACTTACCTTGAGTCTTAAAGAAATGGGAGAAAGAGGGGGGGGGGGGGGGGGGGGGGGGGGGGGGGGGTATAGCTTTGAGTAAAAATATAATTATAATCCCTTAGCTTAAACCGAAGAACAAAAGGGAATTAAATGAATATATAATACACAATTCATATGTTTTAAAACAATACATTTAAAGTAAGATATTTCGGCTCCGACATAGATGTTTAACAGTATTTCCAGATATTAAATAAGGTTGTTATTTAATAAGAATCATAACTTGCTCAATAAAAACATATTTATGAATTTAATTTGGTTTCCATCAGTTGTTGCGCAAGACGTGGATTACAATGACGAAACATTAAACAATGTGTAATTGTTATAATACTTTAAGACTCAATTGTATCTTATGTATAAAGTTAACTATTGACATTATTCTATAAAGTGTTCTACCTTTATTCCCCTGTGGTAAAGTTTCATTAGCAGCAGTCTTTTTATTAAAATGTCAAGATCACTCGTGTATTTCCAAAAGGTTAAATATAAATTAAGCTTCATAGTAAATGAAATCCTATATTATTAAAGGATAGTGTCGACCTGTTTTGCATGATAAGAAACTGCAATAAAAGCCAAGTCCAGGTTGAGAAACGTTATCGTATTTCATTATGAAAGATAGTGACAGCCTATCTTATACTTACAATATGTATTAAAAGATGACAAAATGTTACATATTCACATTTCTTTTTGCTTGGCTTCTGTCCTTATCCATAATCATAAATGATCTTTTATGATTGTGTGGCAACGGGAGCAGTTCCTGTAAAGCTCAAATAGACAAATATGAATGCATATCATTCAAATCAAACCTGGAATGCATTTCATTTAGGAGAGTTTCTACTTAGTATCACTGTTATTCATTATTGCACTGTGATCCTTTGCTTCCAGAGGTCCGCCTTCACATACATCACATTTAAAAACTGATAGAGGGAAACATGGAGTGTTGGATTGTTGAGTGTTTTGGAGTAATGTCAGTTTACACAAGAAAATACATTTACACATGTATTAGTAAAGGAATAAGCATGTTACTGGTGTAAGATAAAAGGAATGCAAATATTCTTAGAGAACATTCCAGGTTCACAAAATCACTTTGGTCGTATTTCAAATCTTTGACGCCTCTGAAACTAAATATATATATATATATATATATATAATGTCTCTTCAGGAATATCCATCACTAGCAGAGTTTCACGTGGTGATGGCTGGTTGGTCCTTATTGGTCTCTGATGAGATCTTTTCTCCGTTTGTGCTCTTTGGTTCCAGTGTGACTGTCTGTGGCTCAGGAGGAGTCTACAGGAGAGGAAGCAGCCTCCCCCCTCCCCAGGTCCTCTCTGTGGCTCAGGAGGAGTCTGCAGGAGAGGAAGCAGCCTCCCTCCTCCAGGACCTCTCTGTGGCTCAGGAGGAGTCTGCAGGAGGAAGCAGCCCCCCTCCTCCAGGACCTCTCTGTGGCTCAGGAGGAGTCTGCAGGAGAGGAAGCAGCCTCCCCCCTCCTCCAGGACCTCTCTGTATCTCAGGAGGAGTCTGCAGGAGAGGAAGCAGCCTCCCTCCTCCAGGACCTCTCTGTGGCTCAGGAGGAGTCTGCAGGAGAGGAAGCAGCCTCCCTCCTCCCCCCTCCTCCAGGTCCTCTCTGTATCTCAGGAGGAGTCTGCAGGAGAGGAAGCAGCCTCTCTCCTCCCCCTTCCTCCAGGTCCTCTCTGTATCTCAGGAGGAGTCTGCAGAGAGGAAGCAGCCTCCCTCCTCCCCTCCTCCAGGACCTCTCTGTATCTCAGGAGGATCTGCAGGAGAGGAAGCAGCCTCCCTCCTCCCCTCCTCCAGGACCTCTCTGTGGCTCAGGGGGAGTCTACAGGAGAGGAAGCAGCCTCCCTCCTCCCCTCCTCCAGGACCTCTCTGTGGCTCAGGGGGAGTCTACAGGAGAGGAAGCAGCCTCCCTCCTCCCCTCCTCCAGGACCTCTCTGACCTGCTCCAGAGTCTCCGCCTGCCGGATCACCTCCAGCCTCATCTGAGGAGCAGAGACACATCCGTAACATATTAATACAATACTAATCACTTGGGACTTTACTGTATTAAACTACATTTCCAGCAATAATCTGGTTTCATCATTTATACTTATACTCCACTGAATATAGTATAATACAGACAGTTTTATTACATATTGTTGGCATATGATGTAGTGCAATGTGCACATTTTTACTTTACTTCTTATGCTAATACAAATATCTAAGTTCTCTTTTATCTTCTCATCATTGCACATTTTACTTTGATTTCTTTGGTTTATATAAATATTTGAAATTCTATTTTATTTGATCTTATTGCACATTTTAACTTGATTTGTTTCTTTTATTTTATTTATTATTGTATCTTCTTAATGAACTTATGTTTATACAAACATTTCTATACAATTTATCGAGTTAAAATGTCACAAAGTATTTTGATTGATTCTGAATTGTGACCTTGACATACACTGATTTTGTAAATGCAGGAACAAGTTTGTCCCATTTCTTTCACTCAGCATGTTCCCCCTTCTCTCAACTAACTAAAGTCATCAAAGTTCCGTTGCCTCTCACCTGCAGCGACTGAGAGAGCTGCACGAAGTCTCTCTGAACCGTCTGGCTGGTGTCCACCTGGCTGCGCATGCTGATCACCTGACTGCGCAGCTCCAGACTCTGCTGCTGCAGCGCCGCCTGACAGGAAACAGAGAAATTAATGAAACGGTTTGAAAATGTGTTACTTTGCCAACTTTGAGTGGTATGATAAACAGTATTATTGTGATTATTTATACAATGCCAATGTGACCTGAATTCTAGATTTTGATTTTGATTCTCACAGTTGCGGCAGCATATATATATATATATATATGCTGCCGCAACTGTGAGAATTATTAAGAAATAGGTCAAATTTGAGGTGTGCATGTGTAATTTATTTATTCCTAATAATTTCCTAAAACCGAGACAACATGTCATGATTTATAATTTAGCTTCATGGTTAATATTTTCACTTAGAACACTTACTTTTTATTTCTAAAGCCTTTAACCACATCTTTTGGCCTTCTTCAGCAAATAAACTCAAACTACATCAACTAAGAAAGGCCAGAAGAGGTGATAAAGAGTCTTTCAAACAAGTAAACAAGCAGTAGTTGGACCTATTTGTTTTTTAAATGTTTTTTTTTTTAATCGACAGAATGAAAGCAGGATACATCACCACTGCAGACCTCACTCAGACACACAGAGAGCCTCATCACAGAGTGTAATGTTAAAGTCAGGCTGGACTCACCTTCTCAGTACTGAGAGTCTTGCTGGTGCTCTGCAGGTGAGACAGCGCCACCCTCAGGGCCTCCAGCTCGCTGCGGCAGGACAGCAGCTCCGCCTGCAGCTGCTCCTTCTGAGACGAGACCCTCTCCGTCTCCGTCTTCAGACTGGACAGCCGCACTGCACACACACACAGGGACCATTAATACTCAAAGAAAAACTCCCGGTTATCACACATTGGCCCTCAGATTGACCATAAGTTATGTTGGTTATGGTCAAACTGTAATTATAAAAGGGCAAATCAATCTGAATGAAACATAACTTTACACATCGTCTCATAATTAGGTTACCAGACTAATAGAAAACTGTTCACTCACCTTCTAAAACTTCTGATGATGGGAGTTGCAAATTGGTGCAGGCAGGAAGAGAGAATAAAACATGTTTTAGTGTCTCGATAGTCAGTGTTGGGGAAATAATAATAATACATATTAATATGCTCCACAGACCGTTCTCCTCTGTGCGGGTGTCCAGCTGATCCCTGAGGTTCACTATCTCGATGCGGAGACGCTCCTCACAGTGCGCCCCCTGTAGGTCAGAGGTCAGAGGTCAACAGTCAGCACACACACACACCGAGAGTATATGCTATGAAACTGTACCTAAGCATTCATTACAACACTATTTGACCACAGTACAACTTTTCAACTCAGAAGAAAGCAAATAAACACTTTAAATTACCAACAGAGGGTCAGGATACTTTCACAGTATTGCCAACATGGTTTTAAAGATTCATCCATGCATGAAAGTTGGAAAATACACAATCTTTGGGTAAATTAAGTAAATATGAGCCATTATATTTCATTTGTTACCTTTTTCAATGCTATGTGAAACTGTATCCTTAATGAACTACATTGAGTCATCCAAATACATTATTTTACTAATTGTGCTTCAGTCTGTGCTGAAAAAATTGATTTGAAGTGACTTTTCCTTGGTGTTTACATACTGTAAATACAAACATGTTAGTTTTACCTGCAGTGTAGCGGGGAAGCAGTCGGGCTCATCCTGAACCTCCTCTCCTTTGAGTCTGGACAGCTCGGTGCTCACCTTCCTCTGGGAGAGGGACAAACTCTGCCTGGACACACAGATGAGGATTTAAACACTTTTAATCTAGATACAATTGAAATCAACTAACCCTAAGAACATTTAATGTCTACAATTTGAGTATTGTTCTCTAAATCGCAGAGTTAGAAGTCTGGACTGCATATAAACAGGTACAACCAGCAGCAGGTTATTTAGCTTAGCAAAAACCTGGAAAAGGGGGTCAAAAGCTAATCTGGCTCTTCCCAAGGCAAGTACTTAATCTCTACTGTTTTGTAATGTGTCCTAATTCAGTAAAAACATGAAGAGGTTACAAGCAATACTTTTTGACTTGGCTTGGTGTGGATTTTGTGGCAACATCACCACCACCAAGGAAAAGTTTGACCGACATGTTTGAGGTATCACGTTAGCTCAGCAAGAATCCTACTAAGTGTATTTCCCTAACTGTATCTCTTTATTCCATTCTCACACACACTCTGGAGGACCGGCATCACTCACCAGCCGACTCTGGACGGCGCTCTGTGATTGGCTGAAAGATTTCTGCAGATCCTGGAGGAGGGCCTCTGAGGTGTGGACCTGAGCCTGGAGCATTGACACCTGAACACACACACAAATAGAGAAACACAAATTAACATGCAAATAAACCAGCACATAACATCCACTCCCACTCATTAAACATCAGCCATTAGCTCACCTGTTTGTGTGTTTTGTTGGTCTGTGTGTCCAGCTCTCTCTCCAGCTCCTCCTTCTCCTCCTGCAGCCGGCTCAGCTCGCCTCGCAGCTCCGACACCTGCACAACACATATAACAGCCTCATGTATTCATTTTTCTATTAGGACGGCAACTAACGATTATTTTTATTAGATATTTCCATTAATCTGTTCATTGATTTTCAGTATAATCAATATTTGGTCTATAAAATGTTAGACACTAGAGGTTAATGTCCATGCAAGTTTTTACATTACAAGGTGATATCTTTAAATGTCTTTGTTTTTTCAGTTCAAATCCCCAAAATATACTGTAAAATATGAAAATAAAGGAGGTAAGAATTATTAATCTATTATCTATATATATAAATCAAATTTAAAAGGCCGCTGAAAATCACTTTATTGACTCATCGATAATGAAAGTATTATTCACTAACCTTTCCTAACAAATGGAGGTGTTTGGTCAAAATGAATGAATTAAACAAGGAATTAAATGAACTAAAACTACACATTTAAGAGTGTAAGGATGCTTTCTTTATTGCTATCCAATGGCATGACTGTTCTTTTTTCATAAAAGTATAAAACCTAACATTTGGTGTCATCATTTTTGAATCTGTACCTGAGCATTGAGGGCGTCCCAGTCTCCGTGCGGGACCAGCCGGTGTCCGGCCGGCGGCAGGTAGATGGCTTCAGGCACCAGGGTTCCCGTGGAGACGAGGGAGTCGGTGTCCTCCTGAGCGTGGAGCTTCCTGGGCAGAGAGGGTGTGTCCAAGGAGAAGGAGGACAGCGAGGCCGAGTCGCAGTGCCGCAGAGAAAAATACGCTTCTGACGTAGGAGGCGTCCCTTCTCCCTCCGTCGACACTTCGAGATCTGACGGCTGGTTCTGTCGCTGCTCCACTGCCACGGCCTCCGACAGGCTGTTGGTGAGCGATGCTGGGGATTCATTATTGCCTTTCCTTCCACTGATCTAGCAGGTAGAGAGAGGGAAATGCTGGGATTTAGTCCAGAACATATGGGACCATTTGGAATAACACACATTGTTAAATACTGACCATGTTCTGCCCACTGGCTCTCCTCCACTCTCCAGACTGAGACTGGAGGACTGATAGCCTGGCCTCATACTGCTCTGCTGTCTCTGTACACACAGGATCATGAAATTGTGATTAAATCCTCCAATCAGAAGAACAATATCTGCTTTGCCACAAAGTTTGAGAATCCAAAAAAACTTTATAAAGATTTTTTTAGTAGCCCCCAAAAAAACATACAACATATATTAAGAACTCAAGAGGAAAATAATGTAAACATAATTATAACGTAGACAATTAATAATAATGATATGAAATATAATACAAAACAGCACCAGGATTTTCAGCCCATATATAGCGTGCATATAAGGATTTATGATATTCTGTGCTTGATTATGGAGCTTCGAGACATACTGTGATAAAATGGGACAAATAAATAAGGTATTAATCTGACTGATCAGGCATCACAGACTTTTCAATGTAAAAGATGAGTAGAACTTGTCAGTAGAACCTCTAGTTGTAAATATGTTTCTTTCTATTTGCAGAAATAATCATCAACAACACCAGGTGTTTGTCATTTAAACATTACTAAGGCCCGCATTTCTTTCTCCCAACCGAAGGAGTGCAAAAAATAATCTTCTTATGTGAAATTAGACGATATGCACATGAGGACTGTCACAAACACACTGTGCTTCTCATGCATGTGTAACAATGTAGACACACACACACACACACAAACACACACTGACCTCTGAGAGCCTCCTGCAGAGACTGGATCTCTTGATCACATTGTTTCTGCAGCTCTGCCAGTTCCTCCTGTTTGCTCAGCTCGCAGATCGTCGCCACGCCCTGCCAGTGTTCCACCTGAGCTCGGCACTCGGCTAGCTGGGCCTGCAGGCTCGCCTCTGAAAAACCAGAAACAGGTTGTATATTATTCTGCATTATAAGCAATCAGACAAGACCTTTAAATACCTTACAACAAGATAAGAAGAAAGCCCACATGATGTCCCTAATCTATATGTCGAAATGTAAAGCACATTTGCATCGTGTAGTTTTGTAAGACTACGAAGCATTTATGTAATCATTGTTAGGTGAGCACATTGAAGTTAGATGGAGAAGATGCAAACACATCCTTTAAATATAGGTGTGCCAGTCATGTAGTAGTGTGTGTGTGTATTTTGACTAACAATTTCACGAGTGTATAGGCCATAAATGACAGCATTTGTCATTGTTTGAGTGTTTGACAGGGAACACAACCAATTGATACATTGTTTAATTCACTGGGAGATCAATTAGGAGATTACACCCTATCTTCTAATGAGTAAATGAGTAAATAAACCTAAAGGCAAGGTCCCACATAAGCCAATGCTGAGTTTGCGTGTTTTCATTTATTTTAAATGTAATCTCTTTATATTCGTTCACGCACCAAATGGAAACGTTTTAGTTACCTAAGATTTGCAAATGCTTTGTAAATTTAGCATCATTGACGTTTGAATAAACATAATCTTTTTTTTTTTTTTTTTAATAAGCATGTTGTTTTGAGCTACCAGGACTTCCAAACGTAAGGTTTTATTAACTGTTGCTGTCATTATTTTTTAATAATTAAGACAGTAGCAAACACAACATTCTTTATAACTACTTTATTTATATTGCTCAAGAAGAACTAAGCATATGTCTGCTTTTTTTGAAAACTTTTAAATAAGTTGGTGTATTAGGCATTAACAGGGACATTAAGGGTGCTACTATACACTGCTACTCAAAAAACAGCAGACCTAGAGATCAATGTGGTTGTAACACATGACTAGGTACAGTAGTCACATGTCTGATAATATCAAATAAAGAAGTGAAACAGAATAGTACAAATATTGTGGTTTAAGCAGAGGTGGAAGAAGTACTTAAATAAAAGTAGAAGTTCAAGAGTGTAGGAATACTCAGTTCCAAGTAAAAGTCCAGCATTGCAAATGTTACTCAAGTAAAAAATGCACTATTTATTACCTCTGAATTGTAGTGGGGTATAAGTACAAAGTAGCAAAAACATTGAAATACTCAGTAAAAGTAGTAGTATCTAAAAAGTTTACCTTAGGTACAGTACTTGAGTAAATGTACTTAGTTTACTTCACAGCACTGGGTTTAGCTACAGGAGGTCCAGTTTGGATACAAGTTAAGCTGCTAAGTGTTAGCTTGCGGCTAGCATCGCCCGTTCATTCCTATGGTCGGAGATGCTAACAGGCCGTTTGTTCGGTGTAGCTGCCCGGTGCTGCTTAACATTCAACAGGTTTCTCTCACAGTGAAGACAAGCAACACGTAAGCGTTATTTTGTAATAAACGCCAAGCTCTAAAGAGGTCAGTATTCCCACGCCGACAATCCTGTTAGGAGTAAAGCAGATTAAGTGTGTATTTACCTGAGTCTTCTTTCACAAATGGAGCTCATGGTTTCCTCAGACAGAGTCAATCTGACGAGGGATAAGACGACTATCATCAGAAATGCGATAAACGTGTCGGAGTCATTTTTGTACAAGAAGCTCCAGAGTGTAGGTGTGGAAATGATCAGCAGTGTCAACTTCAGGAAACAACTTTCCCCGGTCCAAAGCCTGCGGAAATCACGTCAACATCCTTCCTGTTCTCATGAGCCTTTCCCTGTTTGCTTTGCCCTTTCATTTCACTGTTTCAGGATGGTTAAATACCGAGAAACATGGTCACAGGTTTCTTTAGTGACTGCCACACCCTGGACATTAATGTATGTATGCAGCCATCATGTCCACTGTGTGCTGACCACTGGAGGTCACTGGAGCTTTTTATTGGCTGTCTGTCACAAAAAGGCAGTGGAAGAGTGAAACTCTTGTAATAAAGGGGTACTTAACTCATTAAATTAGCATTTACTCACCTTAATGTGGTCTTAAATTGATTGATTAATGAGTGAGTAATTGCTAATATAGCAGTTTCCTCCCCCTCTCGAAATAACAATACTATGGTGACATTTTAGGCAGATGTTAATTTTAACTTATTTAAACACTGGGAATAGTGTATAACTTTCGCAGCTACCTGAAGTATGAAAAAACCATTTAAAATCAAGAGAAAAATTGCTTGAAACAATTCGGGTCACAATAAATCAATCTACTTTGGTTTTCCCTCTATAGCCAATTTAAGATATTCTAAAGTTTTCTCTAAAAAGGAAAATAATGTTGTGAAGGCAGTGTATCGGTACTTTCACATCAAATAGAAGATTCTTCAGGTAATTCAGACATGGATTCTTTATTTTAAAGAGTGTTAAGCTAGATCCACTTTAACAGGCTGGTGTCTGCACAGCTTTGGAGGGAGCTGCTGATCAGAATCATCATATAGTCATCCCTGTGTTGCTTCAACACAAAAAACGTCCCACATTATTTAGTCAACAACAAAATCAACATTGTAGGCTTAATCTTATTGCAGGAAAGTTTGTCCTTCACTGTCCTAGTGTAAAGTGTAAAGTGCAAAACTGGCTGTTATCAGCTTTGACAAGTAGGTCACTTTTCCTACAGCGTGCTGATATGATATAAGGTCCTCTCTTGTCCTTTATAGAGGGAAGGTTACCGTGTAGTGTATGTGCATTATTAAAATCCTGCCAAATGATTCATATAATGGAACATTAACTTTAATGAGTTAATTAAGGAGTTATGTTTTAGTTTGTGGTTATTCCCCACTTTCCTGAGTCGCTGCATAATCCAATGACCATTTAAGTGATTCATGAACTTTATCTGTTGAACGTTGGCAAGTAAAAAAATTCAGATGTTAAAAAAGCAAGTGTGATATTAACCTTGAAACAAGGAAACTGTATTTTATTGGCAGCAGTCGGTTACCACCTGTTTCCTTTGCTGGACAAAGGCATGGACAAGGTTTATAGTTTCCTGTGTTTGCTTTTAAGTAAATAAAAACTACAGACCACTACTTTAGAATGACTGAATTTACCAAATAAGAAGCCACACATGTTTAACTTCAAAGAGTAAGCTGTGATTTCAGCCGAATCCTTACATCTACAGGTTGTGGTTGAAACTGTGACTTTCTAGCCCTGACACTCTTACAGTAGATGCCACGTTTTAATTTCTTCATTCAGACATCTGCTATATACAGTGAGAGGGCATGTATCCTGTCTGTGCTTTATCAGTCAGTGAAACCGGGTGTGGCAAGGAAAAGAAAAGCCAAGGATACACATCATCTTTAGGCTTGAGAAATGTCAATGTGACCTTAAAGTCAAGGAATTAACAAAAAAACAGTGTAACAATTGGAAAGATGTAATGCATTGTTCTCAAAATGTGTTTAATTTCTTGTTTGAAAGACCTCAAGTACAGAACAGAGACTCAAGAAAGAGCCTCATCAATATCTATTATTATGAACAGTGTATATGATGCAAGTCATTGGCAATTAAAGCATGGTCACAATGTAGAACAGAATAGTACAAAAAGTTGGTTTCATCAGGGGGAAAATGTTGAATTCCTGGACATTGAATTCAATAACAGTTGTGCGTATAATTGAATATTCTACAAAGTAACTAACAGACATTCAGGATGCTAAGTGGAATAATACCAACACCGTTTCTTCATGATCCCACAGTACTGTATAAAATGCTGGTAATGGTTTTAAAAAACTCATACAAAGTCGACTCATGTAAACAAGTGCTATACATCTTCTAACCAAAATACTATTAATCTGATAAAGAAATATTATAAATAGTTTTGCAAATGTTTAAATATCTTAAAGTGGTATAAGCCTATTAATCCTTTGACTGGAGGAGAGGCACATGTATAGAAATGCTCACAACAAATAAGCGATCAGTAACAAGAGCTCATTTCCAACACTAGTTATCTGCAGGTGGTGTGGTTTCAGAGTGATGACAGACGTAACATCTTCCCCATCAGACATGTGATGGGTGTTAGTACCGTGTGCTTATAAGTTACATCTGCACACTTTAACATGATACAGTGAGGAGCGATCAAAGTGACTTGGCTGAAAAGGTTTCATTTCATTTGGTCCAACGTCAGTATGGGGATGCTGAAATGGTTTTCCTTTACATGTCCATGTCCTGATCGCTGACACTCTGGCGAAGGTATTCATCATACAGCTTTTTCTAGAGGGGAGAAAATAGAGAGTTAAGCTCATTGCTGCCATTTCAGAAATATAATCAGTTTGTTCACCATGAAGTTTAAAAATACATATTATGCCATCAGGTTAATATTTGTATTTTGTGCCACTACTTTGACATGTTTACATGCCTTTAATGTTCAAAAAGGTCTTTATTTGTACCTCTTTGACCCCCTTTGTCTGAAATCACAATTAAAATACGACAATTTCCTCGAAAACCTAAATATGTGCAGTATCTTAGAATATAAAAGTAAAAGTACAGATTTAAAAGAGGTTGCCTTGAACAGAAATGTGCAAAATATAATACTGATAAACGTCTGAGCTCTGTGAAGTGCCTACCCTCACTTGTGAACACACACATCTGGTTACAGAACACATATTTATACACACTATAATAAGCAGTATTTTATTCCACTGTACAGTATTTAATTTTACATTGTGTTTTATTTAACCTGTAAAAAGTTTACTTATTTCTGCATTTACATGCATATTGTGTCATTTGCAATATTTTCTTGCACTATTTATACTTATTTGTATATCTTAAGTATATTGCATGTTGTAGGAGCCTGGGACTATAACTTTGATAATACACAGAGGAATATGCATGGTTTACAGAATGTAGGACTATGAGGGAATGGCTCGCATGATATGCCTCAATGGAACGCATTCCTTTATAATTTGAGTCACACATACACACTACTAGTGTTAATTTCATCAGCTATTTTTAAATTTAGTTTTAGTCTTAGTCCTGTGTTTAATTTCCTTTTTAGTTTAGTCATATTTAGTCACCTTCATCCTGTTTTTATTTAGTCAAGTTTTAGTCAACTAAAAGTCTGAGCATTTTAGTCTTATTTTAGTCAAAGAAAACTAATTATTTTAGTCTACTTTTTGTCAATGAAAACGGTTGAGTCTTTTTTAGTCATCAGATTATATAGAACATTTCAGTCAAACTAGTCTAGCCAAAACCAATAATTTGTCATTTTAGTCAAACTTATTTCACAATAAGATTATATCTTGTCCTTATTTGATGAAAAACACAGGTTGAATGATTAAGAATGCAGCTTTGCAGAGAGTATCTGGTCAGGTTTGTGGTGTTTTTTACCAGCTGTGTTTTGGCCACATTGCTTCCCTTCTGATAAAACAATGCATTCGCTTTTTTTCTCCGCCTCATTGTAGCGAAAATGGGCCCAAATATCACCTTGTTTCTTTTTCCCAAGCAGTGGTGGCGTTAGAATTTTCCGTTGTCAGTCATTTTGACGGACAGGATCGTAACATCTCCGTCATAATCCATTATTACCCGTCGAGTCTGTACACAACTCGACACTCACGTCGCGCTGACCGGGGGGGGTGGCCCTTTTGTTGCCATTTTATTTTCTCTTAAATAAGGTTAGTTAGACGGTAGACCATGAGTTAGACCCGAGTCTTCCTGACAGTTCACAGAGTGCCGCTGGCCCGGTGTAATTCAAATGTACCGCTAGCCCGGTGTAATTCAAATGTACCGCCGCGCGCAGCACAGACACACAGCTGCTGCCCCAGCCGCAGCACCAGAAATGGAACTGCTGGGAAAAAAACTGACTATCAGAGATGTAACGTTATCTTTTCATAATATTTCGTCTCCTCATTTTTCGTCAACGAAAGTAAAGAGAGATTTTGGCATAGTTTTTATTTAGTAAACTACATTTTCGTCTCGTCACTTTTCGTCAACGATATTGCATGTTGATTTCGTTACAGTTATTGTTTACTGGCGTCGGTGCCGTCTCGTCATCGTCTCGTTTTAGTCATGGAAAAAAAAAGGTCGTTGACGAACATATTTCGTCATAGTTTTAGTCAACGAAATTAACACTAACACACACACACACAGATATGATACCTTTTTGGTCTTGACCACCTCCTGAACGTACTCCAGCTTCTCCTGCAGCTGCCCTCTTCTGTTTGCCGCTCATAGTTGGTTGAGTCCTGCAAAAGATTGAAAGGAATTTAATAAGTTATTTATTAACAAACAAACTGAAGTTGGAGAGAAAATGAAAGTCCCTTTTTCCCCTTATAAAGGCAAAGTTGCAAGTCCAGGGGGAGACCAGTCACATGCAGATGTTCAAATAGATTACCCTCTGGATTCCACAGGGGGAAATTAAAGTGGACCAGCTGGAACAAAACAGTGTTTGGATTGAACAGAGAAAAGTATAGACATAAAAATACCTCGGATAGAAGGGTTCTATATAACCAACATCATTTCCATCGTTACTTATTATAATAATTGTTTTATTAATAATTTAAATGCATTGTGTCCAAAAGAAGTTAGAAAAGTTATATTTGAAACTTTAAAAAAAGGGTTTTTTTTTTTTTTTACAACACAAGACAAAGACAGGCAGTGACTGAAGATGAAACAGGGGGACATTTGGCAATTATTGCTTGAAAAAAATATTGAGTTTTAATATAAGTTTGCCAAGGTTTCAATGTGTGGATTGGAGAAAGAAGGATGAAAAAAAGGGTATGTATTTTCATGAAAGTATTACAATGAATGAAAACCTTACAGTACGCATCAGTCTAGCGGCAGATTGAGCCCTATTGTTATCAGACGT